TCATCAGTCTTTTTTCTGCTCTGTTGTCAACATGTACAGGAATGGGAAATCCAGAGTTTTGACTGTTTAGCGTTAGCTTCTCCAGCAGATCACATGGTCACCTGGTTTCTGAGCTCCAGCTGTTATAGAACCTCCTTAACATGATGTTTCTGTGCAGAGACTGAAGGTTGGTTCAGGACATGATGGACCTGCTTCTATAACCTCACTGTGGAGAGGATGGACGTCTGTTTTTTAGAGTTTCCTCAAAGAACAGAAGCTTTTAGATACTTCATCACAAAAYAACGTAGGATCACTGCCTTGTCTGAAATTCTAAAGATTTTTAAACTTTATTSCCTGAAAATGTTTAGTTTCAGTGCATTAATGCTGGTGATGACTGTAAACAGGATGATGGGTTAATTTAACTTTCATTTGAAGTGAAGGTCAGTGTGGTTGTTTCTGTCTTCACCTGTTGACCCTGAACACAAAGAACATGTTATTGAAAAGTTTGAGAAATATTCTGAAGAAATCGACAGAAATAGTCTATAAACCACTGAACTTAAATCATGCCTGCAGCTGATTTGGACCGTAGGCTTGTTGGTTGGGCCTTGCTCCTCTTGGTTTCGTGTGAATGAGGTAGAAAATGTGAGAAATAAATAAATTCTGACTTGTGTTGCAGAAGATGCACTTTTCTCCTCTTGTCTTATTGATCATGTCAAGATCAAAGATTTGTCTTGTGAACGTTTTGAAGATGTTCCACTCTGAGGTTAAAAAACCCTTTTAAACTCATGACCTGTTATCAGAACTAAGCACCGTTTTAAAGMTGATTAAATATTTTTAAAGTCTAACATCAAATGAGCGTTTCCTGATTGGTTTGAACTGAACCAGGACTGTGGTCTGGGTCTTTTTGGGTCATTCACCTTTTAAAAGTGCAGAGCTGAGGCACATATTTACTTTAGTCTTTAAGTGAACACGTGTTTGTTCTTCTATTCTCATGGGGACTTTGCATTGACTTCCATTCATTTACCACTCATTTATACCCTAACCCTGAGCCTTTACCTAAGCCAGGGGGGTCCAAACATTTTGTCACATGGACCAGAATCATAAAGTCAGAAGGACTTGAGCCAAAAATTATTTTCCTTTACCTGCTCAACAATAAACAAACAAAGTAGTTACATTAATTGCTGGAAATGGATGCGCAAATTAATCTAAATCACAAACTTTAAAAGTGTTTTGCAGGTTTCCCTTATTGAAATAAATTTTGAAATTTTCTAGGTTTCAATTGAGGAACAATAAATCAATTTAGTCAATTCTGATCAATAAAATCAGAATTTAGGTCACTGTTTCATTGAAAATGCTTGTTGTGTTCAGACAAATTTAATAAATGAATTAAAAGCAGATCAGAGCAAAATCAGCTTTTCAGTAGAAGTCACTGGATAAATGTGGAAAAAACAGTCTGGTTATTTAAAGACACATGATTGGTATTGTTGTCAATATTTTTTATTATAAGAATTTACTTAGTGAAAAAATGTAATAATAAATAGAAAGTCTCCATCAAACAGCTGTGCTGGGGGGACACATTTGTAAACAAATAATATGATTCTTGAACTGAAGTCAGGGGCCACACAAAATCAGTTCAGGGGCCAAGAATGGCCCCTGGGCCACACTTTGGACATCCCTGACCTTTTGACTCTGAGCTAACCTAAAGTGAATTCACACCTTGGTCCTAACCTGAACCCCTGATCCACCAACGGTACTTCCACCRATGGGGACGGAGCTTTTGTCCCCATAAAGAACAGTGGGTCCTCACTAGGCTGTGTGCACTGGGAAAAATGGTCAAGAATTGTCCCCACTAGGCAGTAAAAACATGTACCGACACACACACAGGCCTTGTGTTCGCTCTGAGGAACGCTGAGGTCAAAACGAAAGGCTGGGATTCCCTTTAAGTTTCTATCTTTCCTCTCGTCTTTTCCACTCCTCTCAGCTCCATGAAGTCTTGTGGAAAGTTGTTTTTCCTTCGTGTTCAGAAACAGACTTCATAAAAACGTTTCCATTTTACTTTCAAAGTTTTCTTCTCTTGAGGCTAAAATGTTAACAGTTGTGAAGCGACACTCAAACATGATGAAGGTTGATGTGTTCAGCAGGTAACTCCTCCTCCTCCTCCTCGTCTCTGGGGGCTGTTTGGTTCCTGGGACTGGTCCAGAATAACACCCACACAGACACASCGCTCCCATCAAATGCATTTCTCAGATTCCAGACTACAATGGTCTGTGCAAAGCATGAGAGCTGCTCTGGGTGTCACAGTCCAGTACCAACAGCCCGCTCCTCTTCATCCCGCCCCACCACTCTGTTCATCTGTCACCCCTCACGGCTCAGCGTTTGAGCCAGCTCACCCCACCCCACATGTGAAACCCAACACCAGCTTCATCCAGGTCTCCCAAGGAAAACACAAACAGGCCAGCAGCTGCTCTCTGCTTTTAACACAGATACATTAGAACAGAATGAGACCTCAGGCTTCACACAGACCAGACGTCTCTCACTTTCCCACCAGCTCAGTGCAAACTGGCTGTGTTCCTGCTCTGTACCAGGCTCATGTATGTCACGTTTATCTCAAGCCATCCATTTTTTAGTTGTTAGAACTGCAGGATTCAGATTCTTAAAGAGGCTATATCATGTAAAATCAACTTTTTTGAGTTTTATGTCATGTTATGATGTTATACTCTCATAAAAACATGTCCAAAGC